TTAACAGGTACAACATAGGGGAAGTGCCAGTACCAGTGGGCCGGTCTCACGAGGATCTAAGAGTGACATTGAGTCGTGATCTTAAGACGACGGCCGATTGCCGGGAGGTCGCAGCTGAGTGGTTTAGAACCCTCTGGGCTTTAAAAGGGACCCTCACTAAGTTAGATTCTTCCATGTTTACCACAGTATACACAACCTTAGTGAGAACTAAGCTAGAGAACTGCGTTCAGACTGCAAGCTCCCGTCTAAAAGGTGACTCGGATATCTTAGAAAAAGTACAGAGGGCAGATAACCGTGCAATTCCAGAACTCCGGGGCTCACCATACAAGGAGAGGCTTGGAAAGCTGGACATCTTTACTCTGTCCTGTCGCAGACTAAGGGGAGATCTAATTTTGGTGTATAGAATACTAAGAAATGAGTTTGGACCTAACATATTCTTTATTTTTCTTCCCACTAGATTGGGACATCTCAGATAACGTAGAAGGCAAGTTGAAAAGCCAAGAACGAACAAAATACCCGTGGCATACAGGTTTTCACACCGAGTCATTATTAATTGGAACCTGTTACCCGAAGCAGTGGTGTCCACACCCTCAATTGACTCATTCAAGAAAAGACTCGACACTCACAGAAGCATACTAGAAAAGGAATAACATAGGTTTTAGGTCTTCTGTCCTTACTACACAAATCTGAACCTGATATTCATGTGACCACATTTAGAATATAGAATTCAAGCAGTGAGTTCTTGTTTCACGCATGTAACGAATATACTGAAACGACGCCAACGACGAAGGACTAAAACGGTTAAAGGTCTGTCTGGCTTATCTTATGAGGACAGACTGAGACAACTCAACTTACTTCTGTTATCTTGTCGTAGAATACGTGGTGATCTAATGTTGGCTTATCGTATACTGGACCATGACCTTGGTATGAATGTCTTATCTCTTCCTTCCGTCTAGGACTGATCATTTGAGAGGACATTCGAAAGAAGTTCAAAAACCGAGATCAAATCATCTACATCTGGAGTTTCGTTTCTCTCACCGAGTAGTGAATTACTGGAACTCCTACCAGAACACGTAATATCAGCACCTTATGTTGATATATTCAAAAAGAGATTGGACTTTCACAGTGTTAAAAGCTGCAAGGATTAACGTGGGTCGATAGACCTCTTATCTTTGTTACTGAGGTCTGATTAGTGGAGGGTATTCGTCGTATACGCTACAAGGGCGGGATCGATTTGCAAAGTTTGCAGTACGAAATGGTCACTTCGTAGCTATGAAAGTTACCTGCCATAATGCGTCTAGAGGTAATTCACTATAGATTCAGATTCAATATTATCTTAGCTTGCAAATACTCATTCGTAGCTTCCTTTTGCACTCAACTCAGTTTATTTGAAACAGTAATAGTTCTGCATTAAAAGATTCATAGATTCTTTAGCCAATTACAATGCTTTTAATAAATGCTGTATAATCGCTCAGCAGCTACGATTCTTATTACCTGCGAATTCTATGCTGTTGAATAGCTAGTATGGCTACAAGCAATTTGGTTGACTACAAACTACCTCAGTTAAAAGTACGTGAGACCACAATTAGGTTGTTCGCTCATTTAACTACAAAACACTTCCTACCGACTTTACATAACTATTGGTCAATGCATGTTCGTTTACCATCTTTTTACCAAACCCCACACATACCCACATGCGTTTCGCATAGGATCGCGTTAAATATTATTAGTTCTTTGCATTGTGAAGTATTTTAGCCTGGTTCGGAACCATAACTTTCAAAAAATTATGAGGTAAAACAGTTTAGGACTTTGTGAATCAATTGCTGGAGATATTTTCCTAAGTTCCTGCAGTTTTTGATCATCAATTATGAATGGAATTCTCATATCACATGACTTAAACTTGCCTTTTGATCGGTTTCGTACGAGTTCCTTCAGGTGTTTCGTTCCATAGTTTGTAAATTTAAAAATTTATTTCGGTCATGACAGCTAATATACTTAAAATACAAACTATAGACTGAAGAACGATACCTAGTTTTTGTTAGGTTTGACATGTATTTGCATAAAGTATAATTATCATTTGTTTACATTAATTGAAGTTTATTTATACTTCAATTCTGTCTATCGTGCTCAAAAGCCCAATATTTTACTATTAATGTAACAGGACACCATCCTTGTAGTATTGGTCATAATGTAGCGTCGAAGATCTTAATCGCCTGTGAACTCTGAACTCCGCCACTTTAGAATATATTAGTCTCTATTTTCAGGTAAATATGTCGGCATCTATATGTATAGAGCAAAATGAACATAAGTCTACAATAAGTTTGTCTTTTTTACTTTGGATTCTTCTGGTGATCCGGATGTGTTATAAGTTTTCAAATTGGACATTATTTATAACGAAACAAATGTTTCCTAATGTATAAAGAGTTATCAAGTTAAATCGACAGATTTAACATTTGGTGGTTCGACATTGGACCCAGCTTTCGCGCCAGTTGGGACTCATCAGTCTGATCTATAGGATTTGATCGCCGCTAAAGATCAGGTAAACATTACTTATAGACCAGTCAGCTATAATTTACGGTTGTTACAATCCGTAACGTGTGATCATGACTACTATGATAATGTCTGTATCTCAGAAGTAGCTATGAAAACCTTTACGGGGGTTACCAAGTCTCATTAGCAATATATGTGACTGCTCTTTTTTGTTATATGCTAAAGGCTAACAACCAAGTTGTTTACTGAAGTAAAGTATGTTGGATCAAGATCTCTTTTCTTTATTCCTAGATACACACGTTTTAACACGCACTAACAAGAAATACGGGCCAAGTACTTGCCGAGTAAGACATAGACGACGTAACTGGAGCTCACACACTTCTCGTTTGTCACCATGTATAGAGGAATCATCTAAAGTTGATTGCATGGTAACCAGTTCGCTCAATGGTTCTCCTGAACGCTTGTCATCGAATCCTCCTTCACTAGAGAGTAGTAGCTCGTGCAGTTTAGCCTCTTGTTATGGGGTATCAGCTCCGTTTATCCGCCCCTCCATGCCTCCTGGTCCACCAACGTCACCTGTTCCAAGCCCGCCACCTACTCCTGTAACACTTGGTGCTGTTGTGGAAGCTCCAACAAATACTGTTTCTGAGCCTCGACAGCTTGACTCTATTTCTAACCTTCCAGCCGTACTCCGTAATCGCTTTAGACGACGTCGAAATGCTATTTGTGAATCCTCTGCTCTTGGACAGGGATTAAAAGACTTCTTTGCTTCTTATGTGGTTTCTAATTTAACTGACTCCATGACATCATCACTAAGTTTGGGATCATCTTCTGCATGTCCCGTGTTCAAATCTTCATTACAACCGCATCTTCCTAATACAATCTCACGTTTGGCCCACAGCGACTGTGTCACATCACCTGTGTGTTTGATCGATAGCGAGTCGCAATCTGAGAGTCTGTGATACAAATTTATCCTACCAGTTTTCAATTATCATCAGACGGTATTTAGTTCACTTTTTGTAGTTTCTTAAAGTGATTTTTTTCAATTTAATATTTCACATTATTAGATAATTTTAACACGACCATTGGCATTTGTTTACCCTTAAGTATGTATGCATACTTTTCCTGTATACGAGTCTTTCTGTACTCATTGCTCATCCTATGTAATTTTTTTCTTAAACATGCCTATAATTTCCACCTGCTACCAGCTAATAGCTGTGATTTATTAAAAATATTTCAAAAGTATTTTGTTTTTATATAGATTGTGTTATAATGCTCGGTTTTACTTCGTCTAATGTTATAAAGGTTGGGTCTCCACGTTTGCACGTATGGGACGTTAATTTACCTTAGACGAATATCTACACTAGATGCCCTCCAAGGACTTTAACATAACTCAGATCAAGAACACGTGATTAGCCTGACCACAACGTAAATATATTTCCACACCAAAACCCGACACAATCCAACAACAATGAACAATCAGTAATAAGTGAGTAATAATAATAAGAATAAGGGAATATATAACTCATCTGACATCTGTCAGACTATCTACATGTCTGACTAAGCAGACAACCAGTCATTATCATTTTTGCCCACACATCAGATTGTTACCAAATATTTTCATATCTTTGCTGCCTAAGTTGGCGTTTCGTTAAAAAAACTAATATCCCACCAGAATAGTTATCAGTAATCCCTTTACGTCCGAAAATTGAGTACATAATTCTTCTTGTTGTGGTTTTGGGTAGGAGTTTCAAGATGAGTTTTTCAATCATCGACCTGCAACGTTTCATCAAACTTTACTCAAGGCGAGGCCATTTCGTATATTTATGTTTCCCTGAATCTTATCTTCGATGCCTTATGTTTTCTATTACCGATGGTACTGTTATTACCTCTACTATTCTGGGATTAAGCCTGAAATTTTTATCTCTCTTTGCCGTGTTATGGGGACTTGAACAGATGTACATATGTACCAGGTTCTACTTTGTGACTGCAACATCGCAACTATCTGTTGGGATTTAATGTGAATGTAATTGAAACTGTAATGTATGTATTCAAATTTCTCCTAATTACAATTATGGAAATGCAAGAAAATAAAACAATGATAAATTTAAAGTATATCTGCTCTTTAGTAAGGCAGAAATTGAATGCGACTCCACTTCCATGTATATATCTCATCTAGGAGATCACTTCCTATTGTTTCTGCTTTTCAAGGCACCGCTCTAATTACTGAAATTAATCCATGGTGCGGATTTGTAGTTATCAACATCTGTTCTATATCATCGAATATATTTCGACACAGAATTATTGTAGTAGATATCTCTTGCCATATTTGATCACTTCTAGGTAATCCTAAAACTAAATTTATACATCAAAAACTATCCAGAATAAATTCCGGTCTAGGTGATGAGTAGTGATGCGTTCAAGGATCACCGTTTACTATATACGGAAAGGTTTCTGTTTCAAAGATATATATATATATATATATATATATATATATATAGAACCGGCCAGTTACCTCACAAACAGCAGTAATTTTCCACTGATTCTATTGAACGGTCATATTAAACTCACTAAGCAGTAGTCTGCAGATGTAGCTCCAAACCATTTTTTTAAACTTTAAGGGCCAGTAATCCCACATGGTTGTTCAAATCTAAGTAGGTAGGGCGGAGACAGAACCTGAGATGACTGCAAATACACTCCAATTAGGCGATTTGGATCCAGTCAGTAACTACGCTGTCTGTCTTGTTACACTTCTAGCTACATCCACACAAGGTCACCTAATCCTCGGATACTTATAGAGTGAACTGCACTGGTTGGATGGAATTAAATGAACGAGTACTTCTGTCCATTCGTCTCATAAACGACATGGCCCGCGGTGGAAAAATTTTAGTCGGGGGTTGACTGGCTGACTTAGAGTAGCATGCGTGCGTCAATTACGACACGCAGTCGGTATACTGGCTTCAAAAGGTGCGGTCACAGACTTGTAAGAAATTAAAGTATTTTTGTCGGAGGTGGAGAAGGAAAATTAGGGTCGTAAAGGAGTGGCAATGTTTGGTCCTGTTGGTTGAACAATTGGACAAGAAGAGGGTTTTGTCCATGCAATCACTGGAAAATCTGTCTGCAAGCGGCTAACCAATCTAGGTCAGTAGTAGGCAACATATCTTAATGCAACTGCGGTGAACTTTTGTTCATTTCTCAAAGGGTCTTACCGTCAGTCACGGAAAGAGACTGAATGAGCAGAGGTTAAGCTTTTCTCGTCCCGTTTTTCATACCACCAAAACAACATAGTCGTGGACTTTTTACCGTTGAAAAATCTAGCAACGTTTACTGATGGTGTAGGAATTTAAGTTGGGGATTTTCAGGCTAAAATAAATAGACTGAATAGCTAACTTTGATGACGAGACCACCTCAGCAACTAATTACATAATCTCTGGCTAATCATACACTAAATTTCTCATCCAAAATATTCAGTTTGTACCCAATAGCCATTTCCTACTTGCATTTTTTTCACACCAATAAAAAAACATGGAACTTATTTGAAGTATTTACTTGAAATGACGACTTGCTCCAACGTTACTTGTCAAATCCTGGAAATGTTTGAATTTTATTGGTTAGTGATGGATTTCGACTATTTTGTCAAATCATTATATGTTCCAGAAATTAAGTCTCTCTGTGTATATCCAATATGGAAAAAGTTAACATATTTTGTGAGATAACAATTCAAAAAAATATACATTAGGTGACAGTGGAACTGTACTACACCTTCAAGAAAAGCATCTTGACAAATTACGTTGGAGATTTGCCACATGATAAGACCATTAACTCATAACCCACACTGAGTTTTTAATGTCAAGCGGACGGTCAATATTTGTCTTTTGCTTCCTACTTGTCTTCTTGACTAGTAGTTAATTATCTAATAAGCAACGCAGTTACACCATTATGGACATAATAACTTTAATCCATTAATATGTCCAATCACTCGGCTAGTGGTTCTGTTGTGTGATATTTATTTGACCCGAGGTCCGGGTTTCAATTTCACAATAAAACTGGGCGTAGCCCCTACTTTGGCGTACGGTTGGAGCTTTCCTATCATGATGACCTGACTGAGCTATATTGGCTGAAACTCTCGTTACATTAAGCCCTACCACACCACCCGGGTTGGAGATCGTTAAGATTAAAAGCTGCAAACTTCAAGTCAGAGGGCGAAGTTGTACTGTCAACTTTACAGGGGTGTGACAATAAGGATTTTCCCTCATAAAATGAACGTCTCCCCACTACGACAGAGGGGAGCTAAGAAAGGTCGACCTAAAAAATAACACACCCCACAGTTATTCACGATCACTGTCAACTTAGTTTCATTTTCAAGTCTCTCGAGAAGTACCCTTCCACAGTGTGATAAAATAGCAAGTGACAAACGTCTTTATATCCGATAGAGATTTATACTTCGAACCAATTACTGTCTACCTTCAAAATTTAGTATTTCTTAATTGTATTATACAATTTAGCTGAAGAGCTGATGACTAAATATTCGTATACGCTTCAATACACGTCTATGACATATCATAAAATCATGGTTCAAATAAATACTTTACTGAGAACGAAACTTGTTATTTTATATCTTTTATATATTTGCTAGAATGACAATAATATTATTATCAATCTCTTTATACTTTTAAAGAAACCTTAAAATGTAGTAAAACAGATATTCTGGCGCACAAAAGGAATAAAGGAGTGGAAAAGAAACGTTCAACGGATATTAATTACACTTTCGAATATATTTTGTCCATTACGTATTTTACAGATAAGTAAATTTGTGTGCATACGAAGAGAAAGAGGGAATATCAGGCTACACGTTTTAACCGTAACCGGGGACAAAAAGCAACGAAGAATAATACCGACATACACACAAAAATAACAGAAAGATGGCAAACAAAAGCTAGCAAAACAAAATATAGGTTATCAGTATGGATGAATGTGTTGTTTTGTTAATATGGTGGGAAGAAAGCAATTCGAGAAAATAAACAAATAACGGCAGTGTTAGTCATGATCAAGAAGTATTTTGCTTTTCTGTTGTGTTAATAGGTTGATTGATAGGAGCGAAATAATACAAAAAGAATGGCTTTAAAATGGACAGAAATCTGCTTATCTCTTTTCTATTTTGAAGTGTTTTATTGTAGAAAGAATGTAAACTGGAGGAAGCGGATAAAATGAAATCCTAAATTCGAAAAAGAGGCATGACATCTAAATAGTAGAAAAATAGCACCTGGGTACATAAACAGATGTGAATAAATGAAATATCAATCGAACGTGTAATTGTTATGATTCATAATGGTTCAATAGAAAAGGATACAACTTTATATTGGAACAAAAATTATCTATCCTACGCAAATGTGTGTTATATTATTCAGTTATTCCATCTAGAGAAAAACGTAATAGGAAAAATACCGTCAATAACAACTTCACAAAGAATGCAAGTGAGATGGTTATTATATTCATATTACATTTTATTGAATAACACAAATGTGCTCATGAGTACATTTTTACTTGGATTCACTTATTCTCAATATCTGCATCAATTCAGCATATGACGTTAGAAATGGCGAGCTACATTACACATTTATTGCTTAGAAGAGTTAATCCTGCCCCCCGCCTCTATTTAACCAGTAAATAATTTTACTTGAATACAGTAAGTTAAACTCATGTAACTTGCTTACCCGTGACCATACTGCTTCATAAGATGTGCTTGTTTTCAAATATTCTGCATAAATACTTACCTGACGACAGATTTCGTGAAGCAGTTCAGAAAGTTTACCGTTTCTCGTAAAACAAATGTTTTAAAACAGAGCGATCATTCATGACTAAATTTTATTTATTGAAAAGAAATAAACTACTGATAACTTTGTATCTTTTTCTAGTACGTATTTTGCTTGGAGGATTTCACTGAGTAGTTGTCAAAGGACCGTTCTATGTTGTATTTTAGTGCATGATGAACATGATAGTTTGGGTCAGTAGTTTTGTTGTAAATGCTGAAGTGATAACTTCGTCAATTCGTTGATTTGACATGAAATCTAATGATTTTAGTCTGGTAACTATCGTTAATGTAAGAACTTCCAAATTGACAAGATTCTGTTAGCCTTCTTAGAATTTTCTCACATATATCCACACACGTCCAAAGTTTTTTTTTCATTAAAGTCCTAGTTAATACCTTCATATGGCAACTGAAATTAAGCAAATATCTGGAAATATGAACTGAATTAATCTACTCAAAGTTGCTAAGTAGTTTTAGTTAGGTGAATGATGTTGATGGTCATATATTAAAAACCATTACACTTTATCACAATCCAAATTAACTTTGGCATTATCGTACCTGTCTATTAATAAAATATTGGTTTCAAATTACTATGATCCAAATAGATTTGTACATTTTGCAGGAATGACAATATTCAACAGTTCTACTTCATATTTTGTTATCACTGAATGATTTATTGTACTTGCTATACATACTATAAGTAATCTTGAGGTTTCCCAATGTGTTTAAATAAATTGGAGATCTTTGTTCAATCAGTCATAAGATATTGCAACATCGTCTTTAACATCTTGAACACGTTTTAGGCACACTGTTTCAACATCATACCTAGAACTGATTTCTAAAAGTCCGACTGAGTGGAACAAACAGAAAAGCATTTAAATTAAAACCATCATAGAAATGCTATATTTACTGAAGTTTAGTTTCAGTCACTTCAACACAACTCCTTAATACGGTCCAAGAAATCACTAGTAATCCTGTTGTAACTTACTTTTATGTTCTTTAGAAATACTGTGAGAAATATCTAAGAGGTATGCAATTTATCATAAATGTATTTTAGATAAATTCTACTCTTGTTTTTGTTGCTATAATCATTATTATTTAATTCTTCCACACATGATTTTCCATTTTTTGTATCCTGCTCGATTGAAACCAGCATTTCAGAGTTAGGAATGAATACATTCTACACTATGATCATTTATCCTATGTTAGATACATATTCAACTTATCTATGTGCATTAAGCATAATTCTTCAAATAAAAACTATTGACAACTTGTCTTAAAACTAGATTAATAAGTCAAGAAAAAAAAGGACATATGTTTAAAGATCGATTCTTTCAAACAACCTCTCATAAAATAATAACACTACAATTAATCAACTTGAAGTAAAACACAAGAGAGACAAGAACAACATACCATAAGATTCATTAAAAGCTTCTTCAAATGACACAGAACTTCATGAATAATTATTATTATGAATTAAATATTGCGTAAGCAGATGCTTTGTACACAATAAATAGTTTGGTTGATAATTCTATCCATCGCTTTCATCAGTTTGTCCAATTTTTTTTTGCCTATCAATTTTTATCACTCTCATTATCACTAACAGCATTGAAATTTTTTATCTTGTTAGAATTCTCCACTTTATTTTGTGAATTCTCTTCAATTTGAAATGTTTCCATACTTGACTTAGTATTCTTCTCATTGTCGACCAATGAATTTTGATTATAAGGAAGATTGGATAGACTACTAGCCATCATCATCATATTATTATCACTGTCATATGTTGTATTGACTTGTAAATCACCTGGTAATGAGAATGTTGATAAATCTGAAGAATTATAATACAAATTTTGAATTATTGGTGAACTGCTTAAACTTTCATAACCTGATGGATAAAGATTTGTTATTGTTACTGCTGAAGTTGGAGCAGTGAACTCATCACTAATGACAACAGGATGACGTTTCATTTTTGACTTTTTTTTACCATGTCTCCGTTTAACACTCTTATTTGTCAATAAATTAACGTTTGATGATACATTTTCATTTGGATAAATAATGTTTGTATTGTTATTCTTTGTTTCATTTCTTTTAGAATTTTTGTTCATTTTAATCAATGAATTGTCTAACAATTCATGTTTTGGTGAAAAATTATCAATAGCTGATGATGGTGAAGTATCTTGACTGGGGAAATCAGCTTCTGTTAATAACGAATGAACTGGAATATTACCAGTATCAGGCAGTCGAAATAATCCTGGACCGCTGCCTCCACTAATATTAGTTGAACCCGGTGAGACGGTAGTAGATTTAACACTGAACTGCCATACACCACGATTACTGTTAACACTTGACAATTGTGGTAGATTGGTAGAACTTTTATCTGCATTCCAGTTAGTTTCCTCATCCTGAAATATAACAACAACAAGAAATACGGAACAACTTGAGGTTTAACCCCCCCCCCCAAATAAACAACTAATCGAAATGTGAAAATTAACCGGTTGTTTCTGTGTCCTACTTTCAATAAGACTAAACCACATTTAAGACATAAGTATACACAATTTCTACCATTCTCTCGTTAAAATTATTATTCCATTAAATAGATCAATATGGAAAGAAAAAAACAAAAACGAGAACTCTACCTTATTTACTAATCGACTTAGTTTAAACTGCTGTTACTTTAAAATAATGTACAATGAAGATAACAATGGGCAGAAAAAATAAGACATTAAACGCCAAAGGAAGAAAATATACAATGAAATAAATAACTGCAAAGTGTGTACCATATTCAATTATTCGGTACTTTGTATTCAACTTTAGAAAAGCAACTGTTTCAATGAACTGGTGTAAAGAAAAGTTGAAAGTCATCACATATAAATTTTTCTTATATATATGTACTCGTCAGTAACATATACCTGTACTACTAAGGGGACTTATGTTCTCTGGCGGATTCAATTCTGTGTCACCAAGCTTTACAGTCATAGACGCTACTACTGAGGTATTCGGGCTGAGACTAACCTCTTGTAGGAATGAGATGTACTTTGTGTTGATTGATGACTGAGTAGTGATTAGTGTTATGTATCTTAACTTGATTCTATCAGGACTAAAAACGACTTGATATTGGAGTGTTTTTAGCATAAAAAAGCACTGAATCACCAATTCAAATATACAGTTTTTTGGGGCACAAACATAGGGACCATATACCTGGTCAATTACAAACAGCTGGAGAGTTTTAAACTTGAACGTTATGCTTAACAATAGATCTCCATATTCACAACTGCTGAAATTTTCTTTTTTAAACAGAATTACAAGTCTCTTGTTACGTATATGACTTTCGTTAATGGTGTTATTGTGTGTCAGATATGAGGATTATTGGAATCCCCACCCCCAGCCCTCACAAGAAATAGCACAATTGAAGAGCTTTGGAATGAAGAGAAATGTTGGTTAAATGTCCTTAAAAAATAAATTAAAAAGCTTTAGCAGTGTAGAGAGCCACCTTTCCTCTCAAAGCTGCAACAATACCGTTCATTAACAATGAATTTACTGTTTATTTGTTGATTATCTTGAGACATAGGTCCTCAAACTGTCCCAAGAAACCTGACTAGTGGAGCCAACTAGTTCGATAACAATGGTGGACATTACTAACGGTAAAAGGTGTTCACAGTACAGTATGAAGAGTTTCGAGTTGTATAACCTCATACAATTGATTTCAAAACGTCGGTTCAAATATTCCCCACCAACCACAGAATTCACAGGTACGCGGTCCTATTTGAGTAACAATGGAAAACTTAAGGTAAAGTGTTATATCCTAGTGAAGATTAAATTATAGGTAATTTCCGAGACCTATTAATGGACTAATATTATGTATATATTCTTATTGTATGACTATTCAGTAACTAGATTATGTATATCTCTATGTTACTCTTATTATAAGCTTCATTTTGACCTATAGATTATTATTGTACGATTTACCGTTCTAAAATTATGTTCAATTTATTGATTACAGTCTCCCACGTTCACAGCCACTTTTTGGCTTGATCTTGTATAACTGCTATTTCCTATTTTATGGTGTGATATGGTCTGTTTGGTTGGTATATAAACCAAGTATGTTTGAAATAAATGACTCTCATAGTGGAAACTGGTATTGGTGTTCTGGACTGAACGGTGAGGGCTAGGAGGAAAAAGGACCAATAAGGACGCTAGGCTGCTCAAACCTATCGAACGTCATTGGTTTGGCACAGTACTAAGATTGAATAAGTCGTATTTCGATTGGCGAACAAATCACGCGATGATTAGCCAGGCTTAAAATTACAATATAAAGCAACTAGAAACATCTAAGTGCTTCACACAAATATGGTAGACAATTAGACAGTTTCATACACATAGTTCCCTTTATCATTTTGAAAAGATCAAGACAGTTCAAGTCAACAGTAAATTAAATCGTAACATGAGTTGTAAGCAAAAGCATTACTCAAAGGTTAATTTATGTACAGGGTATTTATAGTTACGCAAGACCTTAGGCTTCTAGAAATTTCTGGAGCCATAGCAAATAGTAGCAGCGCAGGTCAACATTCAGCCAAAACTGTTATATAATTCTTTTTTTGAGTGTTTCTGAGACGATTCTATTCAACACCGATTGGTTATAACGTCTTCTAGTGCTTCTGGGGCTTTAGGGATGTTGACGAGGAATATTTTGGGGACTCTTCCAACAAATATCTAATTAAAAATTGATTAGTAACTGATACCCTGAAAACCTTGTGTAATATATATATATATATATATATATATATATATATATATATATATATATATATATATATATATACGTCAGCTGCAACTAATGCTGAAAATCCTTCTTTCTTTCCAGTTTTAATTCAAATACAACATATATAAATAAATGAATTTTAATAACAATCAAGAAAACAATAAAATACCTACTTGTATAGCTTCAGCAATCGACTGAGCCAAATCATCTGTACCGCGACCAACTAAACTAGATAAAGAACTACCCAAACTTGAGTCTTGATAACTCCCTTTTTCAAAGTAGGAATAGAAAAAAACAGATAGTATGGTAAAGATGCATTATGACTGATAACTAATTATTAAAAAACCAACCAACTTTCAGTTACATAGCAGTCTTAGTACTGAAATAGATATAAAGTACAATTAATAAACACCCTTTTCATCCCCAAAAGATAATAACGATTAGGATATGCTGACATCACGAACCGACCTAAGTTAGATATCCACTGAACGTGTCGGCATTGAGGCAGGTTTCCACTGAAGACCATGAAAGAAGGTCAAATAATATCGGTAACTGATTGAAGTTAGATACAGACAACACTAGATTTTGGTTCAATGGTCTAAAAGCTGAGCGCTTGGGCGCGAGATCGCAAGTTATGTACCTGATTCCCGGCGCTGTTGTAGATGCCCACTGCCGGAAAGTCGCATACTACGACGAAACGGCTGTCCAGTCCTTTATAGTTTCTAATGATTGTCAAAATTAGGTTTGTTCGTGATATCAATAACAGTCAGTAGTCCGAATAAACCTCCTCCATACTGATTACCACCAAATTACCAATTACAGATATGACTTCAATATATACTACTAGCATACGACCATCAAAACAAGTTGTTCAAGTGAAATTTATTTAATTATTTCAGATCTTTTTTATATATAAAAGACTAGTAGATTGGCAAAAAGAGTATAAATCTGTTGCTTTCCAATGAATTTCTTTGAAGTGAACAACAAATAACCTTCTAATTAGACAATACAACTCAAAGTAACCACAAATTGACCGAAAAATAGATTTTATAACAGAATCAACAAAAACAAATTCATATCATAAACTAAATGAAATATAAGCAAAGATGGATGGTGGCTAGCAATGGAATTCAGGACGCTAATAAGAGATTGATCAATTGCAATCCTAAACATCAATGGGAAGATTCAAACAAGCAATACAACATGAATTAGATAAAATATAGAAAGAAAAAAACATTCAGACTAAACATTAGAACTTTCTAGCACCAATAGTATACTCCCAGAGCTGAAAAATTGTTTTTAAATTTATTTTAATGAAAGCGATTAATGTGTATTTTAAAAGTTATTCCAAGTACGAAGGAAAGAACTATAAACATATTTACTAAGAATGGAAAATCATATCGAACTTTATTGTTACATAATTTGGATGTTACACTTTATAGGAAAAAAGTAAACAGTACAAAATATTGATCTATTTATTATTTAACAACACATAATTCATTATGTATATTTACTAAAAATATTAAAAATTGCAGTTAACAACTTATAAATAATGAGACCAAAAACATTAAAGAAATTAGATAATGTCTTTCAAATGGATTGATTGTATTATCCAATAATTTAATTATTAATAGATTTGCATTTAAGCCTATTCACTTTGTTTTAAATAAACAGCTGATATCTATCATTTTCATATAATATGCAATCCAAAGTTTAATACACTTAACTGTACTTAACTAGTGAAGTGAATTCACCTTACCTTATCAATATGAAAATTACTATTACTTACAAAATCTGAATAATAAAATTGAGATACCAAAAGAAAGTAACATACATGGGCTATAAAGTTAACTGCAACAATTGTAACGATTACTTCAAAAACAGTACAATAAGAACAGACACATATAGCATAATACAAAGATGGATTCTAGCTGGTATAACTTCGCTATGGAAATTCTCTAAACAAACAAGTGGAAACCAAAGCAACTTACATAAACCGATAGCGATCGTTCAGTGACTGATTCTAAGAAGTGGATTCAAAAATAGCTTAGCTATTAAAAAAAAAAGCAAATAATTCAACTGAAATCTACAAAATGTCTGGGTCATTACTCTTTTAATAACTGGAAAATTTAAGCTTTAAAAACCTGAATATGATGAAAGGTATAAAATCTATGCTTAAAGTCGAGTCATTTATGAGAAATTCAATCTACATCAATGAATTACAATCGGGAGGTAAAAATAACAGCTTCCAAATGAGTGAAGTGGGACATGTGAACATAATGAATGAGTTCTAGATGGTAGGTGGATGGAGTAAATTTAACACTATTAGCAGGTTATTACGGAATGTTGACTACTTTCCAGTATCTACTAGCAATCACTCAGCAAAAATTAATGTGAATATATTTGTTACCACTTATCATCAATATAACGCATGTTTATAATTGATTCAAAAAGGATTTGTTAATAAAGACTCTGAATGTGATGCTAAATTAAAGAATGTTGGAATATCAGAGTAAAAGGATTTTAATGAAAAGTCCAATAACCTTGATTCTATGTTAGTCACCGGTAAACATCTTATATCAAAATGAAAGACCGAAAATAATAAAACTTATCAAAACAATCACAACTTACCACCTTCAATTACAATCGCCTCACCACTTGGTCCAAAACCACCAGCAATACTAAGTGGACGAGTTGGTTCACCTGACGAATTACGCCATCTTAACTGTGCACTGTTGAAATTAGCATTTGAATCCAATAATAAACCTGATGGTAGCCTTGGTAACATAATTGTTTTGGATGAAGTGGTATTCCGATTAATTGTGGCCAAAGCGATATTTGGATGATGTTGAGGATGCGGATGAATAAAAGCATGAACAGAGGAGGTAGATGTTGAAGAAGAACCTTGATATGGAATCATATTTAAACTACTATTGGAACCATGTGATGATGGTATGAATGTGCCAGGATACCGATCTTTAATTAATAACTCATTAGTCATATCTACTATAGGCGGCAATATAAATGGTGCATTTAATGTGAATGCTTCTAAAAGAGTAGGATGTAATGCTGTTTTTAGACTCCCTCCAATGGAGCCAATTTGTGTGGTACTAGGTATATTGTTATTATCTGAAGAACTACAACTATTGAATGATGAAAGCCGTAGATCACAACCACTCCAATCACGCTGAAACACATGATATTCAAGAAAAATAACAATGACAGATAAATTACCACTATTAGAAAAAGGTTAATAAAATATACGCCCTACAAAAAAATATATATATGATCTAGAGAAAAAGTCATCCATTCGAAAACACATAAGAGACTCAATTACAGATAACCAAAGGTCTTGATTTATACACCTTCATATATAAGTTGTTAGTTTAATACTAAACTAACTAATTATCTCATTGAGAACAAAGAACCAAGTTAGATAACAAATCTATACAGGTAAATAAAATCAGAACTAACATGAAAATAACGAATTTCAAAAAGTAAATAAATGAAAACAAATATTGAATTTGGATTGAGATTGATATGAATTGTACAAAATTTACAAGTTGAACAAAATAATATACACAAGATTAAACAAATTATTGCGATAATACGGACACCATTACTATGTTCATATAATCGTTCCTCATAATTTTTACATGACTGTAAAAGTTTATTTGTAAAGTTGGAAAGCAACTTCAAATCGACAAGTAGATAGGAGTAGTTAGTAAAGAGATTCTGGCAACCAAGATAAGTATATTTTGAATATTCAAAAATGTACCAAATACATATGAACACCAATGGTAAATGTCTAAGACACAGATAACATTCGGAACTAGAAATAATGAAAATATAGAATTGACTAAAACGGTTACACTGTACTATAACGCAAGAAATTGATCATCACAGTAAATGAAATGCACAGGTGTATTGCATATGCAGACTGATATGTGGTAGGGAAAGTAAAATATGATTGGTCGTTGAGCGTGGACAAAATAGAAACGGTTAACTGACTATTAAATATGTGATTTCCTTTCATTGATTTCTGATCTGGATTGAGTGTGACTACTTGTACTTGTACTGAATAATTTGGTTCTCTATTGTGGATCGTAAATCATGGTTCTGATATAACGTGATTAGTCTCATTATCGTAATACGCGTGAGAGTGAAAAATATTTTAAGCATCTGTTACATCACAAACAATATGAAGAAAAGAAATCGCAATTATAAAGGAGACATGTATTGATGACTATAAGACAAACACTAGAATTTCAGCCCGTAAATAGCTATTCCTCGTGCAAGTACTTCACGTGATAAGAAACTAGATCATCTTTAAAAAATCACTTGAAATAAATCAGAACCATAGTGATACAAAATCAAATGTGAATAACATGAATTAAAAGTTCCTTGGGGAGACCATAATCTATAGAAGAGCAAATCAGACTAAAGATAGTAGGTCTTGGATTTTGGCGCCAGATCCATCAATTCATTTGGTCAAATAGCATTTTGGCATTATAGCTGATGTCAGTTCGTGATGAAAACCCCAACTGTAATTCCTAACCCTAACTTCCACCAGTTGATCCCAATCCTAATTCCTCACACAAATTTATAACCCTCAATTAGCCTTAGTAAGTAGGTGGACATTCTCAGGGTCATTTAAGCATTACTAGATCATAAATAAATAATACCCTCACTAAAATGTTTGATATTTTAGCATATCCGTAAGTAGTAGTAGTAATAGTAAGGTAGGTAATTATAGTCATCATTTGAACTCGATTAATTTCAAAATGATAATATTATAATATTTAGACACTGTTAACCTACAGTATTATACGAAATAGGTGGAATAAAAGATATATTCAAAGAATAACTTACAAAACCGGAGTTAAATCCCCCTATTTCTTGGCATTATTGTTATTTTTAAAGTGCAAATAACTGTATACATTTTTTCAATGCGACTATAAAATGAAATGGAAGGTTATAACAGTAACTATGTATTAATTCCTGGCATCGATTAACCGACTTCATAATTTAATGTGAATAATCATCACCATCATTTAGCCACGCATTAAAACTAAAAGATCACTAGGCAAGTAGAAACACTTTGATACCTATTAGGTTTAAGATGAGAGCAGCATAAATTCATTACTTAGAGATTATGAACAGTATATCATAGTTTTTAATCTTGCATTTTCATCAGTTCAAGTGAGAAAGTTTATCTGATTCAAGAGAATCACATTTCAGTAGCAACTGAACCTAAACATGAAATCCAATGATCTTGATCATCAGCTTTGGTATTAAAACTAGCAAAAACAAACGAATGTATAATCAGGTCAAAATGCACACATTTCAAGTTACAATACATCTTATTTTGATTTTGATACATATGTAAACAGTTCCCAGTTATTTAAGTTTTAAGTTATAAAAAGAAATGAATAAAATAGACAGTCGTCATAAGGAGTGTTAAATTTCGAATGTCTTTCTAGTATTTAAAATACACGACTAACAAATAAATCAATCGCTAATGAAAAATAACTATAAGTATTATTAAAAGAACCGCTGACTAGCTTGACTCTCATTGGTCAGCATAATATTTTGTTTTTTCTGTTAATTATGATTCTAATGACCTTGAGTAGGCTGCTGAGTAAACATATATATACATACATATGTGAATGGTACAACCTTCAATGTAAAGTTGTCATCTCATCAATAATAACTGACCTACATGACACTGCTACTGACTAATATGGTAGGTTGAGTATATTCTATGTGACCACCATGTGACCTATTATCAGAACTATAGCTCTTTATAATCGATCTGAAAAGAAGTGTACACATTGCATAAATATATGTTCTGAAAAACAGCATGAATCTCTAATAAATTGTGATTTATTCTTACCAGAAATTTTTTTTAATATAAAAAAATGAAATGGATTATCTGGTAATGAATTTGATTATCAATATGTAAAACGTCAACTGTTTAATTAAATAATAACACAATGATTTAAAAAACATCAGAGATCAAATACTTGCAATTATCACAGGTAACACAGTTTCAACATTTTCAAGTTATATATATTGAACGAATGAAATTAATAATGATCATGAAATGTAAGAGAGTACTAATATCACTTGTTTTATATACACATTTTACTTTCGATGAAAAAAAGGATTTACGATGTGACATGGTCATATTTTAACTAGTTAGAAAGGCAGCTATTTTGATATGTGATATTTGACTTTCGACAAAAAGAAAATGATTACTATAATGTTTTAATTAATAGTCACAGACTATATATCTATTCACAAATCAGCATGTTACTAACGTTTTATCAGTCTATTTCAAACAAACAGACAATATGCAAGCAGAGTACGATCTGAAGTAAATAACAATATTGATGAAAAATGTTACAAGTTATAAAGGCATAGAAAGATATAAAAACCAGTAAGAGAGAAAACATAAATGAAGAAAAAAGTGAAACAAACAATATGGAAAGCAAAAAAAGATATAGAATAAAACACTTTAAGACCTGAATATACAAATAATGAGATTCAATTAGCAATAATCCAACAGACATTGAAGATATTTTGAAAACTTACAGAGATTTTTATAGCAACAGTTTTATATTTGATAGATTAACCGTTAGTTAAATCTCATCCATAATTTGATTTTTTTTTTGAATATGAATTATTTAAAAATAAAATGTAGGAGCCTTTGAGTTATTGCTTTCTAAGGAGATATACTTATCACTAAGGTGTCCTTAATATATTTAATTATTCTATTTCAAAAAATTGCAACACTACTGCAAGTATGATTGGCAAGGTTTGAGATGATAATTGCAAATGAAATGAGTATTGGGTAGATTGTTAATAAAAAAAATAATGATACATTTATAATATCTTAATGAGTAGAAAGATTAAAATTTTCTGGCGTTTCGTAACTCAATGTAAGCCACTTTCTTCAGAGAATAAATGAACAAATTAAACTAAACCAAGCTTTTTAGAGCATTGATGGTTCAGTAACGGGAAAGCTTTTTAATTAAGCTTATAACAGAAAGTACAAATCATCAATTTATGTTAAGGTGTATGATAAATCAGTTGGTATTTAGTTACTACCTATTATAAGTGGTTCACTTAATTTATTTATCTACCTAGTATACAACCAATAACACATTCTTATTTAGTATAGTATGCAACAAACCAACATTTAACTTTATTCAATCTAGAGAATCATAACTAAATGCCCGCCAGAAGGTTTATATGCCTTTTGGTAAACTCTTCAGTAAGAAACACTATCATAATAGCAATATTACTAGTCAATGAAGTGAAAGAGATTCAAGGAAATATTTAGCTGTAAGTAAACTGAGTAATTAACTAAGTAAATCCATTTTAAACCTAAAAACAGAAGATGGTGACTTACTACATTTAAAAACAGCACAACTAATGGGAGGTTGTGAAAAAAAGAGTAATGTGAAAATTGAGTATTCTTTGGTGAATTGGTTTGAGAATTTTCTCATCAAGTAATCACTAAAACAATTGTTTTGCAATCTTTTTTCAAAAATTAGTTTACATTATAACTTGTCTTTTGGTTGATTAATTTTGCCATTTTTACTATTCATCAACTACAATTAATTAACTATAAATTTACTACTCAAGCTTTGTATCAGAAATAGTCAAGTTATGTACTTCTCATTATTTTTGAACTGTGATACTTTGTGAACTTGTGTGTTATTAATAAAACTACATAAATGTACTGCAAATCACTCATTTAGGTCTCTAGTGTTTTGAATGACAGAATTCCTGTGGCCTAAGGGCCATGTGTGACGAACGAAATATGTTTATAGATTTATCGCTAGAGGCGAAGAAAGATACAGCAGAAACTTAGCAGGTAGAAAAACCAATATTTTAAATAAGAAAGAAACATTAAGAAGAATGTAAAGGAAGAAGATTTTCCACTGTTGAGAGTTGAGTAAGTAATAAATTTATATGCTCCCTATTAGCAATCACCGACAGCTCTTCGTAAAAATCAAATTACGCAACTACTAATAGCCATCATATTTAACTTAGAGTTTCTTACACAACTACTTGATAAATAGTCGACAATATCTGATTTACAATCAAATAAAAGTACCCATGTTTACGGTGAAAAGATAACACTGTGAGTGTACAAACGGTCATTAATCAAATTTATGTAAAACTTAGTCTCCATTCATTGCAGTAGGTTATTCTGAGTTATTCCTGATGCATTGGAACTTTATCACAGTTAATAGTATGAATGTATGTGGTTTACTTGAAAAGTATAATTTGTATTTATCCTACTAAAACATTACATTTTACATTTCAAACAAAGGCTTGAATAACTCGCTTTTTAGTACGAAGACTGGATTTATGTTGTGATGAAAATTTTCAATCTCATCAAATGCAGTTAATTTTTCACATTAAATGAAAAAATAAGCATGATTTTGGAAAAAAACAACTGCTTACTTGTTTTGAATAAGTGTGAAAAGTAAACTGTGGACCCATCCAAACACGACGTAATGGTCCTAAATGTGTAGTTATTTCAACTTGACTATACCAGTAAGAAGCAACATCTTCAGCAGTCCATCCAGCAGGAGTGACGACATTATCATCTGTATCATCTTCATCATTCTTGTTCTTATTACTGTCATTATTATTATTATCTTCGGTGTTTGTTTTTATTTCTAACAATCCAGATTTCATTTGACTGCTATTAGCTGGAGGTAAACTGGATTTCAACGTTGATATAACTTTTTCGTAATTTGTAGATATGGACGACAGATTGTTATCAGATTCTAATGAAATTTCAGTTCGACCATCCACTATAGAAATGTGATTTGAAAAAGAACAAACGTCTTGCAATGAATATCCGGATAGTAAATACATTTGTATGTAAACATACATATTCACCGACATTACAATTAACTAATGTATAATTTAACATAGGTTTAAATGGCAAAATATAGAAAAAATTTCCATTTGTAAATCAACTTCAATTTCATGTTTTTGGACTAAAAGAATAATCTATGACGAATAAAAATGAACATTTGAAACATAATAACACCAAATACCTCATTATAAACCCAAGATATTCAAGGATAATATCTCCTCAAAATCCTCTTATCAAACTACTGTAACAAAGCATTAGATTTGAAAAAGTCAAAAATCTCTAAATTTATAACTGAACATAACTTTAATTAACATAAAGAACTGAGTATGATTAAAGAAGTTTCAGAGAACAAGCTAAACCATTAGATGATCATAAGTACAGTGGTTTTCAGAAATGTGAGGTAGTTTTAAGTTAAATAGGAAAACCGGTGAAATGTAAGCAAATAAGACCTATATAGAAATAAGTACATAATGAAAAAAGACCACATGTTACACTTTCAATATATAAAGTAATAATCCAATTTAAAAGATGATTATCGAAATAAAATACATATAGACCTATTAAGTGATAGCTAAGAATAAGATGGCTGAAGAAAAATGATAAGAATCTATGAAAGTAGATCTCCGCGCTGGTTGGTCGTCATTCATAAGCATGATCTTGAAGGAATTGATGCTTCCGAACCATATGTTACCATCAAATATCACTTTTACTGAAACAATCAGTTCATCAAGGACTTTCAGAAAAACATATAATTACGCTAGCTGGTAGTTAATTAAGTAGTAAGAAATATCATTTTATTATTCTATATCCAGTGATGACTTAGTTCTGAGGAACACGGTAAATTATTGAAATCGTCAAAGGTGAAGAACATGTAACAAACGTTAAACTAAAAAATATTGAACATTCTAAGGTTTGTTCTTATTTACGAACACGATCAAAACATATTCACATTGCCTAAAAAGTCATTTCAAAAGTCATGTTTGGAAACTTATCTAATATTGTTGTTAGACAACTACTCAGTTCGTAAAGCACTTATAAGATATATTTAAATTATGGATAATGCACTTCACACAGAGGTTAACAATATATAGCTTTTACAGTATATACAATCTGGAAATATTAAATAATCTACTAAACACTTTATATAAACGAGTGATAATTCAGTACACAAATAATTCACAGATCTAAGTAAGATACGATGCAGTAACCTGTTAACAGTAAGAATCATTTAACCTAAATAAACAGAAATATAGCATACTAAATTGGATAACATATTTAATATCAATTAATTTAATGAATAAATCTGCTTAAAATTTAGTATTACTCTTTAAATTAGAAACATAATCCGATTTAAGCCTATTTGTTTTACATCTTGCTTGAAGTGTAGACGAGGCTAAAATAAGTGGATGCTGTCTAGGAAATGGAGGCAGGTACACAGCATCTGTATGTAAATTCCATTCGCCAACAGATACACAATCTAGACGAATTGAACCATCCTACAAATGAAGGGAAAAATATTAGGATATAATAAATAAGAACAACCTTATACACAAAAATAACTTAAAAATTATTTGAAATGGATGCTGTTTTACGTAAATTTTAAATGAGCACGGAAAAAAATATGAGTTTATTTCATTATGATGGAAGCCGTAACACAAGTGGAATCTCAATCACAATAAACTGAGAATCAAATAAGGTCAGTATGTGCACTTCGATTAACGAGTTTTTTTTAAACTAAAAACAAAAGATAACTATATTTTGATAATAGATTAAGTTTATTTGCTTGTAATCTTTACTAGTTCACAAACCAACTTCAGAATCGTAGATATTCGTGATATATTTGCAAAGGTCTCTTTTTGGGCCTATTATGAAAGAAAAATGTGTTTCCACTATGAAGCATTATAGTGTTTAGAGTAAAATTCAATCACAGAATTCACAAGTATATAGCAACACGACACATCAGAAATAATCGAAGCCTGAAAATCGAAAAAAAAAGATCTCTAATGAGAATAAAACTAGTGCTATTTTCAGATTTAACTTGCTATATGACGTAGTCTGGATACCTGAATCTTAGTGACTAAGACAGGATTTAAGCCCCTAAGTGCACGCATTATAAGTTTATTGAGTAAATTAACAAGTCATGATTATATATGTATATAGTTATTGCCATTTTCGGCCGAAGATAAATATATGTACAAATATGTGTTTAACTTCAAACATTAAGGAAATTTTATTACACAACGTTTGCTATGTTACAACGAGCCTAACTGACCTAATAGTGAATCGTACTGTCTATAATTTAGAAAAAAAATTAGGATTAGAAATACAATACAACGATCCCATGCATGGTTATGAATTGGGATTAATGAAGTAAGTTAGCTCATCAAATGGAAGTAGTTAGGAAAATGCTTGAACTTTTAATCCGATTACTGGAACAAAGATCCAAAAGAATCATTTAAAGCATATCTGTTTTTAAGAATTCAAAGACTGAAATAATGAACTGATAGTGGAAGAACTACATAGCAACAAAGACATTTTTTAATGGACTTAGCCACTTGAAGGAATGGAGTAAATTAAGCTTCAACAGATGATTTCTTTATCAAATTATTGTTTAACTTCAGACATCAAATCGAAAGTTTATTTACAAACAGATAAATATACCGAAACATATTTTAGAAGTGAATAATTAGTTCAGAGTGCATAATTTACATTGGAAATAAAATCAGACAGAGGAAAAAGACATTTCGATAAGAATTAACTAATATTAAATTCCTATTAAAAGTAGTAAATAAATAAGCTGTTACGTTACTCTATCAACTCCTAGTTACGATTATTAGATTGCCTTAATCTCATGCTCATGTTATTCCTGATTGTTGTCAATGGCTCTCGTTATTAAATGTATGTGCATTCTACGTGCTCACTGGGCCGTTAGAGAACTTTTTCCACTATTTTTTTTCTCTTTCAGATAACCTCACATATCTTCAGGCTAAACGCAAACCTACGAAAAGATGAACGTAATAGTTAAATGAATAAATAAGATTTTTATACCTGATATAATTTCCCACCGACTGTAGCTGTATCATCTGCACTAACACATAAATCGTATTCTATTAAGCGAAGATCGGCTGTCAAAATAAATAATGCATCTACAGCACGAGACTTTCCGACTACAAAGAAAGAAAATTATTGGATACAGTGTGTTTATAAAGGAATAAATATATCTAGGAGAAAAAAAGCTCAATGAACTTGAGCTGATGAATCCTTAAAAGTGATTTTAAGATTACTTTACATGTTTTTTTGCATTGAAGAGATTTTTGACGAAATAACAGATTTATGATGATTTAATGGGGTTATATATGGAAGAGCCACAAAATAACAAGTTTGTGTAGTACATAGCATAGGTGTTATGCTTATAGAAGAGGAACCTTTCGAAAACCAACTAAGAATGTGTAAAGGCTTCTATAAGGTAAAGCAAATAGTCAAGAAAGCAAGTGAATCTATCACAGTGAATATGGAGTATAGTTCACTGAAATCAAATAACAAAAAGAAAACATAACAGAACATATTAAGAATGTCAGATAGATGTGGTAAGAAATAATTCTTTGATGAATTACTTTGGATATTTATTTATAAGCTTATCAGTCGTAATCGTAAACATCAATAAGAACATCCAAACAACCAACATAAGTGAATTAAAACTTCACCTCACTGTTCAAACCAATGGTTATCTGGACTCAGTAGCTAAGTTGATAATGAGATTAAATTTGAAGCGAACGTCATTAGGCTCTAGTGCTGGATTGAACATCTATAGGATAAAACGCATATTCTATATTCCACGGCTAACCACTATCCATCTATGTTTATAATGCTTATGGATTAAGGTAATACCGATACAATCCACACAGAGTGAAGATATACTAATAAGAGACTGACAAATTGCAGTCAAAAATATCAATGGGAAAGCCCAAACAAACAAAAATATTTCTTAGGGATCACCATATAGTCCTAAGTCAACTACATCCTTCATAGTTCGTCAATTACAAACAAAAATCTATTACTCGGCGTTGTAACTACGATTGGTGACCTAGTATTTTACTTATAAAGTGGCATGGACTAAAAAGGTACGTGTGATCAAACATCAAGCTTTCTAGTGTTTTATGTGACATATCGATCATACAGGAATGGGATTGACTGATTTGCTGATAACAGTGTACTCAAGACTACAAAAAGCACCAAAGCCAGATTTGTCTACCTTCTTAGTTCTCTAACTTACGCAATTAGTGTTCGACAAATACTTTCTTCATACCACCTCAAATTATATAGCCTGTTCAAGTGTATGTGCTAAAGCGGATAAATCGGTGATAAAGCAAGAAAGGTCACTTGAGACGCTTTAAAGAGATATTGTAATGGAAACTTTCTGTCAGGGATGCAATTGCAAAGTATTAAATTGGATGAAGACACCAAAATACATATGACTTTAAAGCTGTCAAGACAAATAGTCAAGTTCTTTTGATTTGCAAAACCAATTGCTTTTAAGTTGTATGCCAATTATCTGCCTAGTGGTTTAACCACATGAGATACCAATATCCTTTTTACGATACTCATAACTATATTTTTGATTACTACAGAATAGCTATAATTTGATTAGGCTTTGTAGTCAACTGGGACAAAAACGTATAAAACTTTTACTATTTTACTTAGCTACTTACATACCTTTTCAGTAATAAAACTTGAAATCCTTCAAAGAATTGATAAGGACATGGGTTATCAATCGAGGTTGTGAATTTGCTATTAATAAAACTAATTTAGTATTTCCATAAATTTTAATTTGTTAGAAACAAGTTTCATCCTTAAGCATCAATCCCAACACTTGTACCACATAGACCTATTATGCATTTAAACACGACTCTGCGCCAATTTACACTATTTACAAACATTTAACAATAGTTTAGTATGTCTAAATAAAATTAGAATTTATTATTCAACAAGTCATCCGAAAAGATATTGTAATAAAGATGTTTTACTTCTCCGTGAGTAAATAACAACTATGTCCTCCACAATGAATATCTCTGAGATAAATTTACTGAAGATCCAGCGAGAATTAATGATCTCTAGTTACTAGTTTATTAATAAGACAGTAACTCAACTATAACATTGCATTAGGATTATGTAACGACATTGTAAACTGATATAAGCAACTAAAAAACCGACCAAGGGTATCATACTCAATAGGTCAAAGATTTAATTTCTTATAATGCAATAGTCGTAGACTGTTGAGTAATGTCGAGTGAGGATGATATACGAAAGACTTGTGACAAAAAACATAACTTCATAATGTCAATAATTATGTAGTAGTGTTTAACTAGTTAAATTAACAGCCAGTAATCAATATTTTCTTCTTACAACCCTTGACTCCCTTTTCTAGTACTTGACAGCTTATTTACATACTACTAGTACATGTGATCCAAAGGGTAATTCGAAGCCCTGAAGTATCTACTTTAGTACTTTTAATTCTTCTTTTAAATGACAATTGCTATTATGGTGATGTAGAATGCAAAACTACAAACTGACATTAATAATTACTAAGTACTGAAATACGTCTAAAGGATCATAAAGCAAGTAATCATCGCCTTTAATCTGATTTAGAGTGTTTATATTCAAGTGAAATTAACAATGTTTAATTTAGATCTTCCCACGAATTGAGTACGTGTTCAAAACCTTTCAGTGCATAGGATATTAAAAGTAGCATATTTTACACATTACATCACTTATACTGTTTTAGGTACCACCGAATACATTTAACAAAACATATACTTTCATTTGGTAGGAAAGTGAAAAAATATATGCACACTAAAGAACACAATATAATGAAAATAACTAATTTACACAAAGAAATCCTATGAGCATGTTAACGTATAAAAGGTTCTTGTGAATTACCATATGGGTCACTACGATAGTCTGAAGATACATTATTTAGACGAAGTTGATTTGGAAGGAAACATACAGGAGGTCCAAAACGTGCAGCTCTAACACTATTACTTGTTGGACTAGATATATCTTGATTCAAATTTTGAAGTGATTGCCCACTTCTGTGACGCCGAGTATGCTTGCGTGAATGAAAAGAAGAACGAGATGCTGCACTAGCTGGCAACTGTGTATATGTGCAAACTTCAGGGCAGTGAACATGATTAGGATCAGAATAGCATGATTTAACAGATGATAAGTGACGATTAACTATTACCGCATTTATATTTTTCATAGGTGTTACGGCTTCAAAAGCACTACTGGCGGCGCCTCGAGCAATAGATGTCACACTGCTACCACTAGATGGTTTTAATCTTGCTTCAGCTTTAACTCGACAAGGTTCTGGATAGGGAGGTAACCGAGAATTAGTAGTGTTATACAACGCGTTCGGTGGACAAGCACATAATCCTTCACTATTTAGAAACAACATAGTAGGCTGTTCAGAAACATGAAGATGACCACTGATGATTTTGAAGAAAATGGATTTGAATGCGTGAAAAAAGTGTGATGCATCAGACAATGCTGAATCACCAGAGAGAATCGACGAAGAATTTGAACTCCCCTCATCTAAACAAGGAGAAAGTTTAAATTTGGGTACATTTAAGAGATACATAGTATGGAGAATAGTTTTAGAGAGAGGTAATCACTGGTAATCCATAAAATATAGTCTAGAACAAATGACATTAGACAAAATGCATCTACTATTATTTCAGTAGAAGAGAAAATACAGTTTATTTTTTCAATACCGCAGAATAGTATCAAGTAAAATGTAAGGAGGAATTGGTAAGTCATATCACCAAACCTATATATATATATATATATATATATATATATATATATATATATATATATATATATATATATATAGGTATTTTATTTAATTTTGTCAATCTTTTGAAAACACAAAAGCACTAGATACAAAAGTTTTAATGAAAAAGAATAAATTAATTATGACCCTTAACCCACCTGCATCAACGAAAAAATACAAACTGTGATAGAGCTTAATATACTTATTTACGAGTAGCGTCATAAACTTATTACTAACAACAGCTTTAGAAAACATATGATTCGACATAAAAAAAATAATCCTCCCTTTTGAATCCGTATAAAACTTACATACAGTATGACATAGATATAACTTTGAAACAAATAAGTCTGCAGTACTCTCGTATTCCATATATAATAACGGTTAAGGTTCATCGATTTTACTTGTAGCTACCCGTTGATAAAACACAACCTAGAAATTAGGTAATTTGTTTGTAAGCAGCTGACGAGAAACCATGAAATATAATGAATTCATATCATTCTGCATCAATATTTGTTCTGGCTTTATTTAAATTCATAAAGGGAACTAATTGCACGAAATTAGGTGATGATTGTGAAAGAAGTTAATTGAATGGAATTCTAAATCATATCTTATAATTCATTGAAAACGTGAACCTATCCAAGTTAGACTATCATTAAAAACCTGGAAACATTGGGAAGCTTTTTTGTTCTAGTATAGGACTCTTCGGAAGTGTGCATCCACGACCCGACACATGGAAATCGAGCTGAGGAGTTTCAGTCTCACACGCCAACACTACCTCTGAACCACTGAGCCGGTATTCAACATTGTTAATGTCTTATTTCAATCAATCCGCTACATGTCACGACCATCTTCCATTGTCTCCAGTGGGCAACTGCCTCACACTCAACGCAGTTTAGCTCCATCAGTCATGGCTTCTCGAGTTCGCGCGCGAGACCAGAGGTTTTGGGCTCGACTCACTCGTGCGAAGTCTTAGATCCCCACTGCTGAAAGTCTCCCAGTTAAACGAAACGGCCGTCCAGTGCTTCCAGGTTTTTGATGGTGGTCTTACATCGGTTCATGAATTCAATCAAATTTACATATCTCCACAAACCTATACTGTCATATCTTATGATTGCACACTAAGTTATTTGTATCAAATGAAAACAGATGGTCCAATGAAATCACTTTTCAACCATACTTTTAGTTCTGTAGTTATAAAACATCATGCATATAGGACTATTTGAACACATGAAAATATGATACGGGATATACTCTTTACATGGATATGATATTCTGCATAAAGCAATGAGTGTGAAGTTTCCTTAGAAATTATTAAGGCACTGGACGTAAATGTCACTGACTAACTGATCAGTCCCGGATACATTCCTTTGTAAATAGTTTGCTTTATAAACTTTGTTATCTTCATGTGGATCCTCATTTCTAATCACATAAACAACTGACCCTGATATGATAGGGAAAATCAATATTGATTGGAGTACGACTGACATACACAACTGATTTCATCTAGTTTCCTATGTCATTTAGCCATAATATAAGAGTCAACTTAGCAAGATAGTTACAGCTATTGGCAATAATAGTTCAATCTTACGATACAGTAAATTGTGCTTATAAATTTATTTACCGATTAATTAGTGTCCAGTGCTACTCTGACTATTGGTGTAAATAAAACGTACAAAGGTTGTTGTATTCATATTTGCTTTTGATTTATTTTTGGTGTAGAACAAATCCTCACTTATCGTCTTTACGTTGTGTGATTCAGTTTCATTTGGAAAGTACCAACTTTCCGCGGATATATCAGACCTCTATCTTAAAGACTGATACGTTGAATCTATGTCAACATATATACTGATAGCAGATTGAAGTGAAAGACAGAATTCTAGGAATTCACCCTAATCCACAAACTGAATCTTTATTAAATAGAAGTTCTGTCCTTTGGTTGTCAACAAACCTTTACGGATGTGTATGCAAATGTTTAACGTGTACTCATTTCAAAGTAATGTAATATTCAACTTACCTTTGTTCGGTCACTTATTGTTTCGATTTGCATGACATAAGATGAAGCGATTATACTGATTTATGAACAATAATAAATCTAAAAAGTTTAGAGATCCTACTGCTAATTTCAAGATTTTTCTGCATGATACAATAATGATTCACCTTTCGAGTTCTTAGAATTATTTCGTGATGATAGATCGATCTGATAGATATCTGTTCATGACGTTGTGAAGGTAGTCATTATTCTGGAAAACAGATAAGGGATAGTTTATTGCACTTCCCCATAAGCTGCAATTGATATGTCAAGTTACAGATCTCTTAAATTGTGCTTGTATATAACTGCTCTTTTATGGTGTCATGCTGTTACTGTTGTAATGAAGTCAAGGATTCAAGAAGGTTTAGCTCTTTTATTTATATTTTTCTTGTCGACTGAAACAACAGAAAACTAGATTCATAGTTAATGAGGACGCTGTTGATAAACTAATTACTCGCTACACCATATACCTAAAATCGTCGGTTTGATTATTGGAAAAATTGTAATTTTCGTTTGTACAAAAATACCTCTAGCAATTAACCTACAATAGGCTATTGTCTATGTGACAACTGAAGTGGATACATATCAACTTGGTATGAATTTACTAGCTTTAACTAAATTTTAATACTGTGTATGTTCTGGAAGTAACTTATCATTGCTAAACAGATGAAATAGTGACTTTGATATGTTTTAATCCTATTGAATCAAAAAGAACCACGCCACTGAAGAATATCACTACTTCGATATCATTAGCAACTCCACCTGTAGCTCTTCTAGAGCTACTGCCGGTCCCAAGCCCGGGTAAAAGAAGAGGGTTGGGCATGGGGTCAGCAACCTCATCTCGTACAAAACAACCTTGCTAAAAAACCGCTAATCAGAATAAACAAAGTAAACCATTTAAACTCTGCCCTCGGAGTTGAAGGAAGAATTATGACGCCTCATGATTAAAGCTGAGATTCTTCAGAAGTCAAGAGGCCAATGCCCCTTCTAAAAACCAGGATTGCTCAGGATATAGTTCGATGGGGAATGCTGGTGAGCGGCCTATGCTTCTCCATGAGGGTTAACAGGAGTGAGTAAGTAAGTAATATCGTATGGATACACGTTTTTGGTCATTTTTAAAAAGATGTTGAAGAAGTAATAGAGTGATTGAAGGATTTATTTTTACAAACTATTTTTCTGTATACTTCACTAGATAACCTTTATGCTGGCTTCCCCAAGAATTATAAAACTGATCAAAGGGAGAAATCTGACAACACCAACAAAAGATCCTACTGTTGAGATATTCAGGTCGTGAATGATCCCTTGTAAAGCTGGATTAAAAACACTGCTCTGTCACTGAATAGTAATCAGTAGGAAAAGGTTCCAGAGCTGACAGAATTCAATCAATCATATTTGTGACGTTATCCAATTAGGCTCAATGATTTGTTGATCTTAATTATCTGTAAAATATTAGACAATTCATTCATTAACAGGACTGTATATTTTACCGAACTCTGAATAACAAAGATAAAAGATAAGTAAATAATTCCAAATATCAATTCCAAAAATACGAATGATTTCAAGATTTCAATAAAGTATTTGAACGATTTCAAAACCATATGGTTAACTATTCAGATATGAACAACTTTTTTCAACGTGATTTTATCCATCTGAAGAGCAACTATACAAACAAATAAATTATAAAGGAAAAAATCGAAAAGCTGCCTATGTACGGAAACATGACGCTAAACTTAACAAATTAATTAGGCTTAAGGCATCATATACTCAACCTCAAAAGAAATGGAGGTTAAATCAATATACTGGCGAGGTTGAAGAGGTAAAAGTGGACAGACATTTACATACTTTAAACTGTGAAATTTCTCATAAAATCATCCATAAAAAAATGCAGTGGAAGGTTGTTTATAAAAATGGTCACATACAACTTACTAATACCACAGTCAGTAGTTTCCTTGAGAGGAGTCATGAAAGCTGTGAATCCTAGATGAGGGCATTGAGGTGCAAAACCTGCAATTGGTGCAGTTTGACAAAAATTCGAAGTTGTTCTAGACACACCAGATGCGAAACCAGACGACTGACTACGGATAGTATAAGGATGTTTCATAGAACTAGACTGGGGAATTTGGCACGGAATACTGATAGAATTGCTAGAGGAGTTACCGCTAAATCCAGTTGACTCAGTTGCACTTCTCTCAGGTTGTGGTCTAGTTAGATGATACTCTTCTAAACCAGATGATCTATGATATCTCGAAGTACGATTCACAACGTGAGGTCGAGTGTGTGTACGAACAGTTATCGGACCTCCATAAGCAGTAACAGGGAAAACATGTGTAGTCCCATGATTGCTGCTCACAGCTACCCACCGAGAATCATGAGAGAAAGTAGCATCCACAATCTAAATATGTAGGAATCAAATGAAATAATAAATTTATTGAGTAAATGTATTACTCTGAAATTTTTTTCTACGCAACATAAATGCTAGTAGTGCTAGTGCAAAAAAGTATGCATATTACAATATTTCTATGATAGAAGATGAATTCTTATATCTAACAGACACGCAATAGAAAACAAAAGACACGCACGCACTAGACAAGAATATTTAAGAGGTACTTTATCAAATTGGAAATACTTTGTGTATAATCAAATTCTGCAACAAGACGCTCTATGTTGTGACAGTATAAACTTAAACATATTTATTTAAAAGCTGTTCCGAAGTCAACCTATCATCAGTTCGTATCGCAAAATAATTGTTTGGATAGCCAACAGGAAAAAGCCTAAATGTCTAGGTTTTCAGTAAAATGATAATAACATGAAGTTAATGTAAAATGTTTAGTGCAAGGATCTAATCGAAAACAAAATTGTTCTAAATTTACAACATGGGAGTATTTCAAATATGCAAGAAAGTTCGAAATGGTGTATGATAACATGCCTACTACATCTGAATTCGAGAAAAGATGACCAAATAAATTTTCACTGAAATAAAAGTTTTTTCATAGTGTAGAGAAGATAGGACACTCAGTTTATTTGAGGAAATGGTTTTAAAAAACCGATGTTCAGTACATGAACAACAAAAACTAAGATACTGAAGTGCATTGTCTATTGATACTATCGTATAATTAGATTAAAACAATGGATAACGACTTCCACAGGAAGGTACAATGACAAAAATATAATATAACATGAACGGTATAAGCTATAATTAGTAGAATAAATAGAAAAATATATTTTGGTAAAGCAAAATGTCGAAACCACGTAAAAAAAAACTTAGTGGTTTATTACAAAGAAAAAAGTATCACCTTTTAGTGGCCCACTAATCTGACTCCAATTCGTTATATATTATGAACATATTTAACTCAGTGTATTACGTAGGTTAACCCCGTTTGTGCGATGGTGGTAATAAGAGGCCAACTGCGGGTTGGGTTGGATAAATTTATTTCAAGCACTCGTTTATCCCAACAGACATTCAGAATGAAAAGCAGGAAATCAAAGAGAAGAGGAGGAGGCGAACCCATTTGATAAAACGTGACTTATTATTTGTAACCAGATAAAAATGAGCTGTAGACATGTGATGAATGGGATAAGTGATACACACACAAACGCTCATATAAAACAGAGAATAACTAACATGGTCAAAATGCGACTCAATAAGAATGAATAAACTGGTCTGTCCGGAAGCTAAAATAATTCATTTGGGCTTGGGGTAAGGCTTAACACTACAACCTACTTCTAATTTCGTCATTAAAGTTTCATTATTCTAGAAATGTAAAATATGTAGAAATACAGATAAACTAACATAATAAATGAGTAAACAATCCTATTTCAGCCTAGTCGATTCTTCTTGAAATTAAAGACCTTAATACTAACAAGTCGATTAGACCGATCATATTAATAGACCTTACAGTATATGCAGTTCGATCAAAATACTATCGCCCACTGCATAAGCATAGAGGTTGGATGTAACTCGAATATTCTGAAATAAGACGAAGAATATGGAGAGAAAAACTTATTACTGCTGTATAATGATAGAAAGCAGCATAAAAGCAGAGGTTCGTAAAAAACCAGTACAAAAATGTTGGTAAAGTGAACACAACAAGGGGAATTACGACCAAAACTAGCAAACAACAAGAAATCTCATCTTAGGTAAGAAATAACTTCAGGTAAAACCATCTTTAAACGTTAGTTATTTAAAAAATATGGTTGCAACACTAAATATCATAGGGAAATCCTATTTCGCCTTAGCTTATATCAGTATTTTTCTTTGTGAATCACGTAACTGTACTATGACCACTAAAATGAATAATCATTCCTAGAGTAATCGACCAGGGATAGAAACACTTAAACCTCAGGAAGAACCTTGTAGTTTCACCAGAAGAACTAACGATAAGTCCACATGGATTAGTCAAGTCCAAATGCAAATTCTCATGCTCCCAAGTCCTTAGTTATAATGCTGAGCTACCGGATCAGTTGTTAAAAGTATCACTAATTACGTCTGAGTCACAACTCATATTATTTAAGAATAAGCTCGCAAGGCAAATGTTGAGACGGCTTCGAGAAGCATGACGAAGCCTCCAGAGGCTGTAAAGAAGCTGGAGAGATACTAACCAATCAGAATGTGACAGAGCTTTCTAGAACGCTGACGTGGCATGCTACGATTCGACGGTAGCACAACTTGCCTCCTTGTGGATCGGCTGAATCACAATGATGTTGTATTCAACGCTAATAACTATAAATAACCATGTTTTTATGTACTTTTTTATTCTTACTCAACGTTCACTTCCCTTGCTTCTTCTGTCATCTGATTTGAGAATTTGAGGTTCTACACGTTCGAGTGCCGTTAGTCGTATATCGTATTCCACCGTAATCAAGTAGAGAACGTAACAGTAAATCAATCCAAAAACCTCAACAGGCACATGACCAAGACACTTCAGGCATACAGCTGAGTATTTATTTATTTATTTGAACACATAAATATTGGTACAAGAGGGCACCAAATACATATGCACCACACAAAACAATGAGAACTTGAAGAGAAGAAGGAAAAAAAGTAGGGAGCGTAAAAAAACAATAACGTACAGATTAGTGTAAGGTAGTGTAATAATAATAATAATAATAATAATAATAATAATAATAATAATAATAATAATAATAATAATGGGGGAAACGGAAAGGTATAATCAGAAGAAATCTTTCAGTTAAGGGAGATACAACCAATTTTTGTGAAGAAAGTAAGAGACGGTTACAGCAGGATCCCCACTGGCTTCTATTCTGAGCCCTACCTCATAACGTCTCTAGCCACTGTGTCACACCATCTCTCGGACCCCAACCAGGGAGTCGTGAAGGACCAACAGAAGTCAGTCCTTTGCAGCTTTCTTTCATACCACGACACCATGTCATGCACTGACCACCTCTCTGCTTTTTCCAACCAGTCTCAGAGTCGGCAAATAATGCACGACGTGAAATTCTCTGGGACGACATTCGTAGAACATGTCCAAGCCACCGAAGTCGGTGTTTCAAGATGGTGACACCAATTGCATTATCGTCTCTGTGCCCGAACACACAATGCCGAACCTCTGCATTACTAACATGATGTTGCCACTGGATGTCAGCAATCCTTCGGAGACAGCGGTGATCGAACACAGAGAGTCGTCTAACATCCTCAACTCGGAGAGTCCAGGTTTCACAAGCAAAGAACAGAACTGCTCTCACCGACGCGTCGTAGATCCGACCTTTTACAGCCAGAGTAACACCACGAAGGCGCCAAAGATGGCCCAGATTGACATAAGCCGCTCTGGCTTTCACTATACGTGCATTGATCTCATCACTCACGCCACCACCAGCACTTATGTAGCTACCTAGACACACAAACTTCTCAAATACTTCTATCTGCTCACCATCCAGGGTGAGTACAGGATTAGAATCCTGCCAGTCTTGTAGAAGTACTTTGCACTTCGAAGGTGCAAAGCACATACCATACAGCTGAGTAACAGACATTCATACATTTATGAACGGTAAAAAGCAAAGGAATTATTCATCTATCAAAAGATAGCTTGTAATAATAATTCATATAAAAGGATCACAAAAATCTGTTTGAAAAATACTCAGACAGTACAGACGCACATATTTATCGTTAGTTGATTCGTCCTAGCAAATTATGTTTAAGAAATCATCAATACAAACACATAAGCCCAAAGAAAGTCCGACAACAATATGGTGTATTTTCTTATTTAATAAACCTCCTCATACGAACAATTTAAAATGTGAAATAAATTGTTACGACATTACATTTGAACCATTAGGAATAACCTTAACTGTATAGTGTGTTAATGACCGATTAACTCCGACGATTTCCAGAAAAGACCACTAAACAAAATACAGTATTATGGACGAATGCTACCAGAATCCAGTTACATGATAAGTGATGTCATTTAATTAGAAAACAAGAGGCATTTCTGAAGTTATTAGATCATGATCAACGCAGAGCCTAGCACGAGTATGCTTTAGTATAAGCTGTTATACTACATGAGCAAAAAGAGATGAAATAAACATAATGACTAGAAAAGAATTCAGAAAAGCTGTAGTAGCACTGCTAGAAGGAAGGACCAAATATTGAGAAACTGATCGGAGAAGGGATAAAAAGGTATGTCTGAAGAAATACTGAAACAATGTGAAATATTAGCACGTATCGTTTACTTGTCTATTTTTGAAAGCCTCCATTCAACATAAGATTTAACAATGAATGAAATTTTGATGAAAATTCTAACAGCTTAAATAGTTAAAACACATTTAGATGAATTGTGCTACATACATATGTTTACACACTAATAAAAGGTTAAACACCAAAATGAGAAACTGTAAATAAAAATGAGATTTAAGGAATTAAATTAATTTGATGAATAAAATCTTAAAAAAAATAAGCATCTATGACATTTGATTTTTAAAAATAAAAACAAGCGTGTTTACACTTGTACAAAGATCATTTACATATATCGGTCTTGCTCAACAAACGAACAATAAAATGTAGGTCATAATACACTCTAAAAATAGGTTTTGCACTTTTGTAGTTAATGACAATCAATTTTACCTAACATGGATTCTTATTATCGATTTGTTTCTAAAAGTTGTTCAAAAGAGTATATTTTAGCCAATTACTTTCTTTTTAAACTTAACTTGATGCTAACAGTCGCTACGATGAGATGAAATTTTAAATAATCTGCAACTAAACATTTTTAATGGATGTTTAAGATAGCGTGACGATTATTTAAACGATTTGAAGTACTTGTCGAGCTACATTTACGCTGGATTGCAAAATTATCTACACTTTCTAAGCTGAAATTTTAGTTTATGAAAATGAAGTTAATTACTATGATGCCTATTTATTACTTCTTAAAAATGGAA